TAATCAACCTTCTTAAAATTTACTAGTTCAAGTTAAAGAGTTTTGGCAGCCTGGTTATAAATAAATAGCTTATCTGTTCCCTTATCTGAATTTGTAGACTATAAGATAACTTTCAATTTTCAGACTGACTATAATAAAGTTTTTACTATGACATTATATTAATAATAAAAAAAAAAAAAAAAAAAAAGAATATGTGATAAACCACCCAATATATTAATATATGTCAATATACCTGCATATCTATATACAATCAAACTTCTATATACATGCAAGTATGTTATAAAAGGCATGCATTTAGAGTATAGCATACATATTATATATAGTATATATACTCTCTTAGCAATAATCTTTAATTGCATATTGTATTCGATTATATAATATATATATATATATAATCTGATAAGTTAGTTAAACCACCCACCCACCTAAAAATTATGTAATTTTTGAAAGCCTCTAAGCAAGCTAATACAACAGTAAATATTGAATATTCATGCCTAGTTAATGCAATTGATATAGTTTTGGTTTTTTTTCTTTAATTGTAGTAGTATTTGTTATATTAAAAAATATAGCAGTTTCATCTATATTGGCAATTAAAGATAAAAGATAATTGTAACTATAATATTTGTAAAGTATAAGAGATAAAAATTTGCTTTGTTCTTCATTATAAGTTTCAAGAAGATATTAGGTAGTAGTTGTATGCCTATAGTTAACCAAATTATATTATAATATAAATTTGTCTACCTATTTTTAAAAAAATTTATAATTTTCAATCCTATGAAATTGGCTTTGATAGCAAGAAGTAGTAGCAAGAGAACAAACTTTTGCTTGAATCATATAGTAATTAACAGTTTTTTATTGGAATTGGGCCTCATAAAACTATTCAAATAGCTCAGCTTCAAGCTTGGGATATTTAGGTTTAGTGCCAGGTACTAACTTTTGAACATATAGTACAACTTTCATAAGCTCTAGTTTTTTACTAATCCACTCTCTAAGTTGCTTCAGCTCTATTTCAAATTTATTAGCTATTGAATATTTGCTATGTCTTTGTTTATAGTAAGCTATGATTATTAATTTTTTACATACTAACTATTGTCATTTTTTCTTTTTAGTTACTTGAACATGATGAGCTTTAAAATTTTCACAGACTATTTTGATTCTTAGTATAATAAAAATCTTTAATACCTATAATTAAACCTATAAATGAATTCTTTTTTTTAATAAATCAGTTTTTATTTAAGTTTTTTCTTTAAAAAATTATTTTTTACAAATATTACTTGTTATACAATTATCTTCATACAGTTACTTTTGACAATTACTCTTAATGTAGTAAAGAGTAATAATTCCCAATAGCAATAAAATTTAAAATTTAAAATATAACTGATTAGAAATCTAACTCTTAATAAATCTAATTTAAATTTGTAATCTATAAACTATCTAGCAAATTTTTTTAAGGTTTAAGGCTCTATTTTTATAATAGAAGTTACTTGTAGTTCTTACAGGCTTATATATCTGTTATTTTTGTAGACCTTGGTATTGCTACTGTTGTTCTTGCAGCTTTTGTTGCTGCTATCATTGTTTTTATAGCACCTGTTGCTGCTGTCATTGCTCTTGTAGCTCTTGTTGCTGCTGCTGTTGCTCTTGTAGCTTTTGTTATTGCTACAACTGTCTTTGCAGCTCTTGTTATTGCTACTTTCATTGGTTTTTTTTTAGTTGATTTCCTGCTAAGCACTCTTAATTGGTGATTCACCAGTCAACCAGAGAATGATCATGACTCAAATTACTTATAAAAATTGGAGGTCTCCAAATGTGGCATGCGTGTATCTAAAACCTTTTTTTATACTAAGTTAATC